TATGAATATGCCCTTAAAATGAGGGGAGAAAGTTACCTTATTTTTATTAGTTTTTTCAAATATGCAACGTTTTCCTGATCTCCTGATACCAATTAGAATTAACATGTGAAAAGGAGTACTAGCAAAATACTTAGAGAAGTGTCATCATCAAGCAGAGACATTCAGTTCATAGACAAAGGAAGAAATGTTTCTGTATAGCATGTAATTGAATTTTAGAACTCATTATCACCTAACACTGTGAAGGCCAAAAGTTTAAATGGATTCTTTGAGCGATAGGGAAGTCGTTCTAGGAAGGTAGATCTAGTGCTATTAGAAGGAATACAGTCTCCAGCTCCTGTGGTTCCCTAAGGCACACACTACTAAAGGGTGAGAAGCTACATAAGAGAAAAGGTCATGTTTATGCCTGCTACCACCATTGTCAAAGACATGCTAGTGAATTAGAGAAATCTTTGACTTGCCCCAGGATGGCTGTTCATATATTTTTATATGGATTTAGGTGATCGAATTCAACAACACAGTGATATATGGTAAGAGAAATACAGAAAAATGTGTACAGAAACTTCTAATGTACTTATGAAAAACTTATCTGCAAATACAGCTTTTGAGCCTTGAACAGTATAAGAAATGCAAGAAGGTATTTTTGGGTCTAATTCGTACAAATGTCATACAGTGCTTTTGCTTCTGTGTATGCCTGTCAGCATTCTGAGAAAAGGAAAATACACACATTTATCTCCCTGGTGCATGGATTTGTCTGCCCAAAAATTGTTAGAAATTCTAGTAAAGATATACCTTGTAAAAGTTTTCCACAAGAGAAATCAGTGTGCTATGATGACAGATAGACTTGCACTAGATGTTAATGAAGTCACAGAAGTTCAACAGCATTCCTTGGAAGCAGAGGGAAATTGAAGCTGGTAGAGAGTTTTGACCAGATGAATATTTTGAAACTTCATTGTTTATTTAGACCTCTTGCCTCTACAACACGGAGGTAGAAACCTTCAGTGAACAACCTTTCTAGTGAGATTTACCAGACAGTCTCTTCCTGGTTATGCCAAAAATAGAAGATTAACATGTTTTTTATGTGTTATTTGAGCACTGTCATCTGCTGCCTTAACAAAAGTGTGAAATGGCTAAAGAAAAAAAATAACAAGAGTTTTTATTAATTTCTGTTTTCCTGGTATTCTACTGTCAGTAACAGAGCTGTAGGTCCCTGTCTGAAGGGCAATCTAAGAGGTAAAGGTTGTGCTGCAAAGGGCAATAACTTCAACATTTACTGGAAAATCTCTTGGCAGCCAGCATGGCCAAAGCAGTGTGTGGAGTGGTGGCCAGAGAGTATCCAGGAGTGACTGGATGAGACAGTGTTTCAGCAAGTCTTTCCTTTACTCTTCATTAAAAGAATTTCTATGTAGCTACAAATAGAAGCTAGAGCTGCCTTGGAGTCAGTCCTCAAGGGCAGACAGGACTAGGAGCATAAACGGGCATTACAGTGTATTGCTCTTGGACCACAATGGAAATGTGGTTTGACTTTTGGGAGGGCTCAGGTTAGTTTTTATTTGGCAGAAGCAGTTTAATGAAGCTTTAGATTTCAAATAGGTCAAACCAGAATGCTAGTAGCCCTTGCATAAGGCTGCCCAGTTCAATTTGATTTTATGGTCTATCAGAAGATATGCAGCAACTAGGTGCCGAATTCAGGTATTCAGAATTAGAGCAGCCTTTACAAACTGCTCAACAGAATTTAATATACCAGCACAGCAAACACGGTTTCCCTGGAATCCTAGTTTATGTGTATAAAACAACTTACTCTTGTCAGTGGATTATTCTCTTTGTGTTGCTGGGGAGCGGATGCTGAGGATTTGTTTTATATGACTGTTTCCCGTCATTGCTTCACAATGTTGCTTTTCATAAGAATGTGGTGAGGTATCTAAAGCCTGCTTTATATGAAGTGTTTGGAAATGCATTTGCAATAATGAATGGGTAGTGGAAATTCATCAAGTCATACAGAGGCAGATGTTGTGAGGCAATGAATTAACAGTAATAATAGCATCTCATGCCGTAGGTTATTTTCATTCTAAAATAAACTAGTTCATGTACAATACATGACACTTGCACTTTTTAACTCTTTTCCCCTTTTGGGTGAGACAAACAAAAAATGAGTATGCTCTAAAGAGGTAGTATTTTTAGGAAGACGTTTTACAAATGCAATTACAGCAAGACATTGTAGCTTAGATTGCACATGGGTAAACACGTGCTTTCACACCAAGGGAAAAGTTTAGCTTGGCAGCTGAGGCTGAGAAGCATGACTCCGATCTCATTTAAAGCCAAAACTGTAGAAACCTAAGCCATTTCCAAAAATAACATCAAAATTAGAGCCTTGAACCTCCTCAGACTGGTCATGCTGAGAATGATGATCCTGGGGACCAACAAAGCTACTGAGTCCCCTATGGAAAAATTTTTGTGTGCTGATTTTGTGCTTCAGCCATGGACAAAGAAACATATTTCAGCAACTGAATGCAAGTATAGATCAAATTAATTCAGTTTCTAGGATTATTTTGCTTTTTAAAAATTCTTATGAATTTTCAGAGCTTTTTTTTAATAATCATAACAACTAATATACAACACTAAATCCTCTTGACATTCATTAACAGGGAAAGTAGATTAGAGGAGATTCACCAATAACTTTCTTGCAAGTTCAGAATAGGCTTTTGAGATACTTATGAAGCCTCAGTTAATGTATCTCAATGTCCAACTCTATTTCAGTGATTTTTCTTTGCAAAATCCCTCCAGTGAGGTAGAGAGTCATCGTCATCTCTATTTGCAAGATGGAAAGCCTATAGCCTGCTAAAAGATTTTTATTAATCAAGAGTGAGAAATCTAAATTTCGGAAGGATCCTAGGCTCTGGTCTGGTTTTGTGGGTTTAAATACACATGCAGTGTTGGGATCTGAATCTGGACTTTGCATTTCTTTCAGTCAAGCTTAGCATAAGACATGGTGGGAGTCATTCTTCTGGGTAACAGAAAATTTCCACAAGTGAATCCTACCACCTCAATGTCAAAAGACTTTCCCGGTGAATCCCAACAATGCTTAGGAGAGAGAGAGGTCCTGAGATGTCCACTTTAGCCTGGTGGTTAAGGAAGGGAGCTCATGTAAACATACGTATCTTGGTGATGACGCTCTTGAGCTGCCTCTCCTACTTTTCAGCTATTTAAATGAGATGTGCCAGCTTACGTAGGAAACCTGTGGTGAAATCTGTGGTGAAATGGAGAACTGCACCACTAGTCTGAATCCAAAAGGAAGCATTACCCTCTGGTTACGTTTCCTGTAGAGAAAGTTGCAATGGAACCAGCAATGACATGGAGATATCCAGGATTGCTGCCAAGTTCTCAACTGCAGGAAACAAACTCCCCATTAAATACCTAACTAGACAAGTTCAGCTAGGACATGAGGCAATGAAACCAGGGTAGAAACTACAGGAGGAATAGAGGTCCCAATGAGAACAGATTCCTTTGCAATACAAGTAGCCTGGTACAAAGAGTCAGATTTGTCTCTATAGCCCTTTTTCCTGCATAAGACTGCAACCAGGATCTCTAAGGACTTGCAAAAGATGAAGTATTTTTGCTCTTTTGGAGCTACAAATGTGAGGAGAAAGAATCCCTTCCCAACACAGACCTGTGTTAGGTGTCCGCTATCTCAGTGATGCTACCAGACACAGGAGCAAAAGATCCTTTCTCCTTGTGGAAAAGGAGTAGTGAGGGGCTCTGAGGGATAAGAAGTTGTTCCAGCCATAGCTTGCAGTCTTTTTCACAGTAGGAGGCAAGGATGCAACACCGTTTTAAAGAAGGATTTCAAATTAACCCCCACCCAAGCATAACTAGAGAGTCTCAGGGGTCATGCTCCATTCAGCAGTTCTTAGTGTGGGCTGTGAGCAAATAGCACTAGCTAGCACAACATTATTTAACCTTTAGTGTGTTTATTCGGCAGTAGAATAAGTTTTGATTTTCCCATTTATAGAGATTCTGCTGGGAGAAACAACATATTTCACACTAGCCATTGCAGTTCCTGAGCAGAGTAATAAAGTGGAGTGATGGATAATGCACCCCCTCACTCCCTGTGCTTTATTATGCATTTCTACATAAAACTATTTTCAGTATTTTGAGAAGGAAGTTCTGACAATCAGTACTGGTGTTTATGAAACTCCAGACCCTATCCAAGAGTCCCCTGACACAAATGTTCTTCCTCACAGAAGTAACTGTTTCCTTAGCTCTTTCACCACTTCAGAGCCATTCCCTACAACCCTTTTTTAAGCATTTTCCATCTGAATACACTTTATTTAGGTTTTGTGCTTTTAGGCAGATATTTAGTCAATCCATTAGAAAATAAAAAAAATCCCCCTGGAAACACAGAAGGATGCCTGAAGACCTTGCACAGGGGAGTTTTGTCCAGACAAGAACAAGGGGAAAGTTATGCTTCTTTTCAAAGCTTGTCCAGTGCTGCATACTTATCAATATTCCTCTTTATGCTGGGAGTTGCTCGATCGCCCTGTGCCTTCTGTTGCTGTTTATCAAAGCTCCAGCACACAGCATGAGGAATAACAGTTGTTTATTCATCATTAACCAAAACTGTTTACAGTGCTCTGTAGCTGTATGGTGCTGTTAAATGCACTACTGGATTTAATAAGGCCACTCATGTACTTGAAGTTAGTTACATGCTTACATACTTTGCTGAATCAGGGCTTAAGTGAACTGCCTAAAATCACTCTAGATGTCTGAGAAGCCAGAACTCCTGACTCCTAGTTCTGTGCATTAACCACAAGATTATCTTTTCCCTCCTGGGAGATTCAAGCTCAGTGCATTTCAAAATTACCACTACTGAAAGACAGATGAATGAAATGGTACACGTAAAAACAACTATGATCAGAAGTTTTCCCTCAAACTAAACATTAGCACAGACCCATCTGAAATTTCCATTTGAACATTTCCATTGCTTTAAAATTTATTTTCCATGTTCATGTACATCTTGATTCTGGCCCCAACCAGAAGGTGAAGTGCCAAAATACTGTATGAAAGGATATTTTTGTGTTCCAAGTTCAAGCATTCAATGCTGAAAGTCTTGCAACAAAGCTTGTTCTCAAGGTCTGCAGCCAAGTCTTGAAGATTTTGAGTGCTTAGATAGTAGAAGGCCAGATTCTTGACTTCAGTGGAAATACACCTCTTCGTGCCAGCTGAAACTCTGTCCCTAACATGTATTAAGTGTCTTTCTAGTCCACTATTACTGTACTACTTAAGCGTAGAAAACACCTGCTGAAATATTCCAAAGCCAGTGTGCCTCCTTGGACCTCTGTCTCAGAAAAGATAAAAAGAAGGAAACCAGTAAGCAGCTGGTAGTATCCTGCAAAGACAAATACAAAACCAAACAAACTGTTGGGCTACATTATGCAGCACTGGTGGCAAACATTTTGAATGAGCAAACATTCGATCTCTAAATCGATGGACACTGCATCACTGCATAGAGCAATCTTCTCTACCTCTTTCCCCTCCCATACACAACCCCTCCCAAAAAAATTAACAGCTTTCCTTGTAAACTGATATGCAGTATCAATGAGCTATGCATGGTTAGAGCAGCAATGGACTTGCCTGCTCTGCTGGTGGTACTGCCAGACATGGAGAAGAGGTGGACATGCACAAGAAGGCAGCAGGCAGAATGTCTTTGCTTGTGGTATCTGCAGGAGCTTCTTTTCACCTGTACCTTGCCTACATTCATGACTGCTCCTAACAGTGGCGCATACACACTGTTGCTCACGTAGTTGTTGGATAGTATTTGCTTCTGGGCCTATAACAAGCTGATAGGGAGGGTGGAGCACGTGTGCTAAAAGAAAATGGCTGCTGACACACACATACATGCTCGTGTGAAGTGTCCCCCTGTCAATACAGAACTATTGTACACACCTTCCATGCCATTTTCATCATAAACATCTCTTTGTAAATGAGTCCAGGGCCATTTTTCCTTTCCCTGTTTCAAATGAAATGACAATATATAAGAATATACAGAATCTTCTGCTACAATCATGAATTGTATTACCTAATATTGCTAGACATAAGGTGAATAACAGACTGGGTTTCTAAAGCCACCCAAAGTGGATTCTGGCTACACCCTTGGGTTTACAGAAGCAGCTTGGCACCTACCAAGCAGAAATCACAGGCATGCAGAAGGGAGCCGGTCTTAATGCTGCAAATGTGTTTATACTGGAACTCAAAATAAATAAGGAATAATGTGTCTTGTGTGTGCTGAGCAAGCCTATGACACCAACAAATTGAGCTGTTTTGGAAAATGCTGCCTGGGGAAACTTTAGCACTAAGCTTTAAAAGGAGTGGAGCCAGAAGCGGAAAAAAAAAAACCAAATCCAACAACAACAAATAACCCAGAACATATTTCAAATCTGAGCATATGCTATAAGAAAACCTTAAATTAAACAGCTCGGCTTTGGGCAACACACAAATCTTCACCACTTCGTAGCTCATTAAAATGGTCAGGGTTCCCAAGAAATATAAAAAATCATCAAGAACTTAACAAACACACATCTTATTCAACAAGAGTTGACAAGTTTTCTGCATTTTATGGAGGTTGAGCACGAGCTATTTAGGGAGGTAAAATAACCTGGACCTATAATGGTAGTCAGAAAGATTGTTTGAAACAAACACTCACAACTGATTGCCTTATGAATTCCTAGTCATGATTGCAAATCTAAGAAAGCATTGGTGGATTCTAGTTTCTGTAAATCAATGAATTTTGATGCTAAGGAAAGCAGGGTATTGATTGGGAAAGTCAAACTGAGCAAAATAAAGGCTGATTCTGCACAAGGGTCCTTTGTCCTCTTCTAACAATGCCTCCATATTGCAATTCTATAGTCCCAGAATGGCACAGTGAGCACAAATAGCAATAAAACCAAAACATGTTCTTTTTTTTTTCCCCTAACAAATATACAATAGATGTTATGAAGGAACTCTTAAAATCTTTTTTACTAATGGTCAGAGAAAGATGTGTTTGTTTGATGCTATGAATTATAAGCATATGTGTATAATAAATATCAAAGAGGTAGAAAAAGTTTGATAAGCCCAAGGAATATCTGGATGTTTTGTTGAAGTCTCCACACTTCCTAAACCTACAAAATTGATATAGTTTCTTGTCCTTTTCTTTGTATTTCTACTAATGCTAGAATGCATAAGTTAAAAACACTGTACTGTATTACCCTGAACAGTGCTCTTCCCCTGAAACAGGTCTCTTGAGACCCCCATTTGAACTTGTGCTGCTCTCCTGGTGCATCTTTTACAGCCACTCATAATTATAGCCCTCAAATCTGTGAGGAAGGAGCATCTGGTAAATCCCAGTGGTCAATAACATTAGAAAGGTCATTGGGAACCACACTTTTCCCACATAGTCTTTTCACTGAGCTATAAAAACCTGCTATGCACCGTGAGACCCCTGTATTGTATCATGGTACGGGGTTAGAGACTGAGCATTTCTCCTGCACTCCCTCAAGTTCTAGCTGAGATTGTGCAGCTGGGTAGTGAGCCCTTTGCAGGTTTAGCCTGAATGCCTAAGTTAGCTGTAATTTACAATCATGCCTGGGATCAGGTAGCTAGTGACTGAGACAGCTAACATACGGTGGCATTTTCCTAATCTACAGGAAACATGTTTCTATAGCAGCCCAAATCAAGGTCTGTCACACCTTGAAAAGTGAGAGTTTGATTTGTAATTCCCGTCACTGTTGGCACATAAATTAATTAACATCTCGTAATATACAAAATCCAGGGGTTTGCATGTGATTCTGTGGCCCAAACCTCTATTATAGTAAAAATATCATTATTTTAATAAATATTACATTCCCTAGGTACTTATATATAGATTTATTATATGTTAATATAGAATATGTTTTTTATTTATACTGTGGGTTTATACCCTGATGTTTATTACATTATTGTTCTATACAAAACGGTCTTAGTAGCACACTCATTATGATTTTCCTCTCTGTTGAATTTTTATGGATGAAGAATTCACTGAAGTTCCCATTCTCGTGACAGAGGCAAATTCACGCCAATGAAGTTTCTAAATGTACATGCAGATGTTCACACTTGTGCTGAAAAAGACAATATATCACCTCATGAACAGGTTTTATATGGCTGGTGGAGAGAAAAATTCCCTGGAATCTTTAGTCACAGCTCAATTTTGTTATACCCACATCAATATTCTGTGTCTGTAAGTATATTCCAAATGCATGATAGATTATCAGGTACTTTTTAGCATGAACATTTTTGGAATCCAAGCTGTATTTCTTTTATGCTACCTTCTGCATACATACTCATGCCATGTCGCCTTCCTCTTCATTCTTTTTGTTTCTTTCCAGTGTTTAGTTCAGGGTTTCTTCTTGGCTCTGACATTCAAGGTTTTTCAGCTCCCCATTTTTATCTCCTGTATCTGCCTTACCATTTTCTCTCGTTGCTTTATGGTTTTGTCTCTACAGCTGAAGTTCATTTTGTCTGGATCTTAACCTCAGTATGGCTTAGCAACCTTTAAAATGAACTATTTAATGTGCAAGATTCTTTACTGTGCGTACTTCTGACACACAATGGGTACAGGGTCAGGGAAAAAGTCTTGACAGAGTGTTTGTAGAGCTTGGATACTACTGAATATTTAACCACAGTTTCTAATTACAATTTTGGATTATATACCTTCCTGTTCTCCTTCAAAAGTGCCACACACATGATTTCTCTTAAAGATGAAAGACAGATAGTCCTGCAATAAAGAGAACATTGGGGATGGATGTTAATTGCTTATCCTGCTTTAGATTTCTGAGTGACTTAGACTTCTGTGTCTGAAAAGAAGAGAGTGGAGTCTCCTTCTCTGGAGATACTCAAAACCTGCCTGGATGTGATTCTGTGCAACTTGCTCTAGGTGAACCTGCTTTAGCAGAGGGGTTGGCCTAGATGATCTACAGAAGTCCCTTCCAACCCCAAACATTCTGTCATTCTGTGTTCCTTCTTATTTGTTATTTTCCTACCTCTGTAATTATGACGTACTTTGTGAGTGTAAGGTGAACATACGCAAGCATGCCAAGGCAGTGGAAGGATTAAAAAAAAGGTTTATTTCAGATGCAAGGACCACTTTTTTACGATGCGGCGCATCGGGCCTCCAGGGTTAAAAAGACAAGTTCCAGCCCCTTCAAAGGCCCTTTATCCTCTCTATTTCTCCCCTGCCTTCCCAAGGCCTCTGTGCATGTCTGTTAGGACTACCTCTCTCCTCTCAGAGAGAGAGGCTGAGAACTTTTCTTGCCATGTGGGGTGGGGAAAGCATTGAAACTACCTTTGAGAAAGAGTTATCACTTAGGCGGAAAGCCTTCGTAGAGAAAACCGAGTTCCTAACTTTCCATTACAAATTCTTCTGAAATTGTATCTATCCCTACAGTGAGTTTCATAGAAGCAAATAATTATACACACTCTAAAATGCGTTAGCTTCTTTGTCAGACATTGACTCCAGAATTTCTGAAAATTCCGTACCTATTTAAAAAATTTTACTGTTTTTCTCCAAACTAACAGATGTTTCAATCCCCTGAACCAAGTACAAGAAGGCAGAAGTAAAACAAAAAAAAAAAACAACTAAAAAAATCAAAGCAAAGTAAACCCAAACAATTATATTGCCTGTAGTTTTCTCCCACTGCTCCATCATATTTTCTGGTTTTCAGCAGTCTCTCCCTGGCCCTCCTCAGACTGTCTGCATTTGTGTTCCTGTTGATGGTGTTGGTAGAAAACATTGTTCATTGGTTAGTATCCATGTAGGGCCCCTGGCAGCATGCTTGTTTCTCATTAAGTTAGACATTTCACAATCCCCAACAAAACATAATTTTCTGGAAGAACTTAGTTTAACAAGGAACTACTGTGACAAAACCACAAGGCCTGCCATTTACTCTTAGGCTATATTTTGCTTTTTGCCAGTTTCCTTTCTTTCTCTAAACATCATTAGGATACAATCTCTTTCCTAGAAAATACAACTTTTTCCCCTCTGCGCGGAACACACTTTCACACGACAAAGCAGTTGGCCACTTCAAGTAGTTTTCATGTACTAACAGCAACAGAGTTCTTGACATTCTTTCTAAGCAACAACAATAACTTTTGTAAATCACCTTCTGTTTTCTGTTTTTCATATTAAAGAGACACCACAAGTTAAAAAAGAAATAAGGTAGAGAACATGAAGATAAGTTGGGTAAGTCCAAAGGTGCAGACTGAAAAGCAGGATTCCCCTTCTTTGCTAGTCCAGGCCTCTTCCCAGCTACTTTGTGTTGTCTTCTTATATCTCATTGATTTAAACTCTTGGCTTCCACAAGTTTCTTACCTCATTATTTCAGAGTATTTTACCTGCTTTGAGCACAGAGCACAGATAAATTAAGGATTCATCTATTCACTGCCAATACTTGGGTCCTGCTCAAGCAGGAGAAAATAGTATACTGGTCAGGAGAAAAACACTATTCATCCTCAGTTTTATAGAGATAAAGAAAATGTCATGGGTAGAAAATTGGACTTTCACTGAACTGTTGTATCATGGACCATGAAAAACCTTTAGATAAATAACTTAAAAGGAAAATAACAGTTTTGTTCTAATTTGTCCATTCATTTCCAGTGGCCTTGAATATTGTCAGGCTGATAGCTATCATTTGGGATATAATTCCTCTTTATTATCCAGAGCACAATCATTACAGAGACAGGCTTCCCCTGCTTGTCTCACCAAGGCCCTGCCTCTTTTTACGAAGATAATCTGTGTTGATAAAAAACTGCAGTCCTTGCTGCGCCTACAGATTTGAATTAGGAGTGGATATATGAATCCTAAAGAAAAAGAAAAAGCCACAAAGCTCAAAGGATACCCATGGAAAATATGACTCCATAATTTCCGTTCAAATCTAATGAAGGTTTAGAAGACAGAGAGAATGACTGAAAATGCATAAGCCACAATTCATACTCTTCAGACTCCTTTGGGCATTATATATTGCCTTGACACTGTACATCTGAACGCCTTATGGGGGTGCATCAAGTCCTATGTCTCTGTGATCTAGGATGCAAGATTCATTCTCTGCTTCTCATCTACAGAGAAAGGGTGCGTGCATTTTGAGTGCCTTACAAAGTCACCTCCTTGGGAAGGCTGAAACACTGAGTGATGTGGGGTTAGCGGTTAGTGGCAAGCTGGGCAAGGCAGGGCAAGCTCTCACCCACAGCAAGCAAGAAGAGTTTTAAGTTAGGTCATAGAAACTATAAGTTAAGAGAACACCTAGAGCCAGCTGCCACAGGTCAGAGGAGCACACAGCACCTCGTACCCCGGTTCACCTCCTGCATAGCAGCAGTTTGTGTAGTTGGTACCATAACTCATGGCAGCCACACTGAGTGTCACAGGCAGGACTGGTGTCTTTGCTGACAGTTGGTTGCATAGGGGCAACTCAAAATCCTTCACTAGGCTCTGCAGGTGTGCCTCAGTCTTTTAGCTTCTGCAGGTTTTCATGACAGGGAAAAGCTCAACCAGACCTTTACATCTCAAGCTGAATGTGTGAAAGCTGATTGGTGTGGAAGCAAACAAGCTACAGGTTTTGTCTAATCAACTACATATGATCTCAAAGACGTGGATGGGCAATAAACAAGCCATTTCCCTCCTCTCCCTCCCATTGTTATTAAAGCTACTTTGCACAGCATAACAGTCTTCAAGTAAGGGCTGTAGGGTCAGGCCTTAAATCTGATCATAAAAACCACCTGGTGCCTGAAATGGTTAATACTTCAATGAACCATGAGAAACAGATGCTTCTTTGAAAAAGGATGTGGGGACTGTGGAGATTTGTAATGCTTAAGTCAATAGGTGATGTAAAAATCTCCAGGATCTTGAGTGCAGTCTGCTAAAACTGTAAACTTTCCATTTAGAGCATCTGCATTCTTTGTTTAATACCCAGTTCACAAGCTGACCTTAATTCCAGGTTGAGCTTGGTAATGGGATGGCATTCCAGGCAATGTCGTCACTATACTTCATATATATCCCTGCCTGCCCAGGGATTAACTAAGTACTTGACCTTATACAAATGTTGTCTCACGTTTTATTAAGAGCAACAAGTAGTTTGTGATTTCCCGTATATAAAGACGTAAGTTTTGAAGCTCGATATTTAATATTCAGGGTCACAAATTCATTTTACATTTTTAAAAAGTAGTGGCCTGAACTGCTCAGCACCCACAAAGTCAACGGAATCTCCCAGTGTTCAGCAGCTGTGAAAATTTAAAAAAAAAATTTAATTTAATTTTAAAATTTGAAGAGAAGGGCCTCAGGGAGAACTCGGGGGAAAGATTTGGAAATAATCTTTGGTCAACTAAGACACATTCTTCCACGTGTGAATATGGTTACAATATGTACTCTGACACCTGGCACACTAAAAGAGATGTTTAACAGAAACAACCCCAAAAATTAGTTATACCAAAACAACAGAGTGCTTAAAGATGCCCAAAATCAAGGGTGAGTCTTGTCAGTTCTTCTTATGAAGTGACTGCTTCTTACTTCTGTGACTGCTTTGTAGCAGAAGTAGACAAATGTAATTAGCTGTATTCAATAAGTGTGAATCCAGTACAGCATACAGAAAAGTAAGAGGACTCCTTCCCAGATTCCCTGTGTGCTAAATGTTTTCATTAATGTTAGATTATATGTATCTTCATTATGAAGCCATAAAACCTTCATTAATCAATAACCAGTACCCAAAGCAGCAGATAGAGACTAGATTATGAAAGATTTGAGGAACATACAAATTATATCATATAAATTATACACAAGAAAACAATCTACTGCTTGGCTGTGGATTAAATTTGCAGCAACATTGAATGTCACATAACCACATGAGTGGGATGTAGGCACTCAGGAATGAATCAGGAATCTTTGGTGACTTAATTTCTTCATTAAGGTGCTAACATTAACAGAATAATGCAGAAATTTGTGTTTTTACATCTAAAAGCACTAAGAAAACTTATACTAGCCATTAAATGAGGGTATTTGGGAACAGAGAGAAAATTTAGAAACATGCTGATGCCCGAAGGAATATTTCAGTCTCTGGAGTTCACAACCAGATGAAACACAGGAAATTACAGAGATGTAAACAAGTCTTTCAGCCAGGTTTACCACTACTTTTACTCTTTTCTTTCTATATTTCAGTCAACAGTTTAATCCCATAAAAAATAAGTTGTTTCTTGGGCTTTCTTTGGTAATTGTTTCACTTACAAATAGTGCATTCAATTACCATTGACTTTATCATTTAAATTAATGGGCAGAAATGGGAACTGAAAGGCTGTGATGCTCTGGATTTGGTGTAACACCAAGCGTCAATATCACAAACTGTTGTACTTTGGCAGTTGTTTTATCACCATCTTAATGGATTTGTTTTCCTCTGTCTAGGGTACAAATTGAATTTCATCGTGTGTTGGCCAGTGATATAGTAATGGAAAAGGGAATATTTTAGCCTTCAGGCTTTGTTATCTGCTTCTTTGTACAGTCTAAAGAGCCAGAGTTCTTAAAAACAGCACTGCAAATGTTCAGCTAGAAAATGCCCTTTTGTAGCCTTTGCAGATTATAGCCCTTTCATACAATGTATTCAGTACACTTTCTTCCTGTTTCCCAATCAGTTAAATTTAGAGCTATTGTTTTGATCTATTAATGAGATAGAACGCTAGGAAAGTCAATGAGCACTTACAAAACTGGCACCTACCATG